CGATTTTAGTATTTTCGCTTATATGTATATATATACACGAGCAACACCAAATAATTTAACTTATAATATAATAAATACAATTTGTTTTGTTTATTTGTGTTAACCCGGTTTTACACTATTCAAATTTCACAAATGAACACATTTAGTTTGCTAAAGGTGGACTGCTCACTTTCCACCTATTTGTTTTCATTCAATTCTAACACGGCCAAAACCAAAAATGAATATGGGTAAAATAATAATAATAGCTAATAATAGGCACAGCTATTATAAATGTATAATATTATATACATACAGATTTTTTATATTTTTCAAGTTTCAACTGTAATAATAATTAGTAAATAAGGCCCTTTTTTTTTCATAAAATACACTATTTTTGTAAGTAAATAATTTAATTTGCCACTGCTATCTATTAATAACCTTACTAAATTATCACAGAATAAGATATTATTAAGTTTATAAGATTATTATTATTTTTTAACTGTGGTGACACTTGTTATAAACAATGTTTTCGTTATTATTACAACTTTGGCGGTTGATGTTATTGTGCATACGTGAGCTACCACACGCCCACACAACCTCAGACAATATCTATAATAGCATTATTGAACTTACTGAACTGATGTTACCAACAATTGACGCATCGTTAAGTTAGCCCGTAGATGTTGTAGATAATAATAATATAACCTTTAATTAATGAAAAAAAATTATGTAGATAATTCTGTTTTCTCTTATTTCTCTGGACTGTCCAAGTAATAATATTTTGTATACTTTTTCGTCATTGTTTTAAAACGTATCTCATAGTTTTACACAGTAAAAAAATTATTTAATTATTCATTATGGCTGAAAAGATATCGAATTTTTTTTGATTTTTAGTTTGAAGAAAAAAACGGTAAGTAATGAAATACACAAATCATAAAATTCTGATTTTGATTGTTCCCTAGCTTTTTTAATACTCTACTAGCTTAAAAATTGTATTTTACTGCCCAAAAATTGTGTAGTTAACTAAATATTAAGGTTTATTTTTTTCATTTTCTCGTGTATATTTTATGTTTGTTATCAATAAAGACTGGATTTAATTTATATTGCAACTTTTTTTGCAATAAAGATAAATCATACCTGATTAAATATATTGCCGATATATACTAAAAATATTGTGCCTATTTAATTTTATAATGTAATTTTTTGAAATTTTCGACGTTTTTGCAATTTTTTTGAAATTTTCCCACGTTTTTAAATCATAGGCGTTTATCGTTCGTCCGGAATTTTCTAGAAGCTTGGAAAGCCCAGTGAGCGATAAATGTCTATATATATATATGGTGATAATTAAATTTAACGTAGTAGTACAGCAATTCGTGTGCGTTTACTTGTCGGTACCTTAGTACCTATTTCATTGATCAGTTTAATCGCACAGTGAACGTATTCATCGTAATGCCTAAAATAAAATCCACTTTAAAAAGTAAAATTTCGAATTGGAGTGCTCCTTACAATGAAAATAAAGAAGTATTTTTATCAGATGGAAAGGTTATATAATGTTATATTTTTTTTTATAAAACTTTTGCATTTTTATAGTGTAATTTATTATGAAATTTTTACGTATTTTTGGTGCAATTATATAATTTTAATATGCAATTTTTGTTTGTTCTAAATTCAATTAAATCCGGTCTTTAATTATCAGTTAACAGAATGCAACTACTTTATTTTTCAAACTTGTGACAAACAACTGATAAATTATCAATTTTCAACATCATCTCTGCGTACGCCACTAGTTATAAGTATACAATAGTACAATCAGACATTCTGTCCAGGTAGTGGAGCCGTTATCTAAAAGTTCCCAACCATGTCTTGATCAAGCAGATTCACAGCCCGGTAACAAGGCTCCCGCTAATCTGATGTCCATTCAATTATTGAGCTGTCCTTCGAATCGCCATGGCCTCGCCTTCAACCGTTCTCTTGTCCTCTTCCTTGCGGTGAAGAATGTCCTCCACCATATGGTAGAACTATAGCACGTCACGTTGAAAGGCAGCAATGGCGTAGCCAGAATTGTTTTAAGGGGTGTTTTTATTTTGTATTTGGATGTAACTTATTTGTAACTTTATTGTGTGCATATAACATACATATACATAATATATATTATACTTAATAATTATAGCTGTACGTAAGCGTAACACAACATATTTTGTAAATCAAATGCATAACTGCATATAGTATAAATTATAATTTCCGGCATAAATATAGTCGAAGGGAGGTGTTTAAACTCCAAAATTTCTCCCCTCGCTACGCCACTGGAAGGCAGAAATTAGCTGTTGATGTCTCATCGGATCGTCTTCTCTGAATGACAGATCGGTGGGGCCGCAAAGCAGGTCCTTAATGTCTCCTGAAGAAATGCTCCTGCCACCCACAAAAGCTTTCATTGCCTACCAGAAGGGTTTCCAGTGGGGATAATGAAAGATTGTATGTTTGGCAGAAAAAAAAGCTGATACTGCTGATATGTATGTCACTGTTGTAGATGGGTATGGTTGGGACGGTAGAATGCATAAAGTTATTCAACTTATATCTGTTATTGACGATAAATCATAGCTAACAAAAAAAGATTCTGAGTGAAATTCGTTTACATCACATAATTTACAAAGCCGTAATATTTACGATTTGTAGGTACGTTTTATAGATTTTGTTGAATCATTTTTCTGCGGCAACATCCCCAATCTCGATATACTCATTAATTCGTTAGTATTATTTTTTTATTTTTATTATGTTTATGAAAAACAGAAAAAGCGCCATTATCGACGGATTTTGGAGATAGTAAAGATTTATATATAATAAAATATACAGAGAACTTATTTTTATCGAGAAAACCTCATCATAATACTAGATTTCGGATGTCTATAAAATTGCATATTTTTTTCTATTTATCCAATTTAATGCTGACCTGGATAAAAATTTGATTCATGTTCAACCGAATTAAATAATACTATTTTTATTTAGTATATTTTGTTGCTTAGTATTTTAAATGCATATTTTGGGATTTTAGAAATATAAATGCATATTTCAGTACATTATTGAACTTGAAAAAAAGCATTTTAATTAATAAAGAACTATAAATTAAAAAGCATAAAATTTAAACAAATTGAAAAACCATTGTACACAGTGCAACGGTTTCATTGTAAATTAATATATAATATTAAAACATAATAAATCAAAATAACTACTTATAAAATTACTAATAATATTTAAATACTTAAAGTAAAATAAATTTGTTTGTGCAAATTTTGATGTTTTTCCAGTTAAAAATGCATATTCTATGACTTTTAGTGTACTCGTATATTTAGTAATTTTTTGATGCATAATTGTACACGTATTACAGTTATTTTAAGTACATACATATCCGAACACTAATTGTTATTAAATTCGTTTTTCATTACCTACTGCAATAGTATTATTAAGGATAGATTTTTTTTGAATCACGAAAAACCGCAGGATATACAGCAAAATGTACGACATTCGAGTTTTTCACGAGTCAATTAAAATTAATTATATAGATCTGTACTTTTCACCAAATACTTATATTGGCCTTTGTTGATATGGTAAAAATTTTGAAAACATTCTACCTAACTATTTTTTAGGATATTTATAGGTATTTAATATTTTCGTGTTTTATATGTATTTTTATTTGATAGGATCTGTTGTTAAAATTATATGACAAGAGGAATGCTTGACAATTTAACATCACAACGTACATTATAAGTTTTACTTATATCTACTATCTTATCTATACTATCTATACTATCTATTTACTTATATCTATTTACTTATATCTATTTACTTATATCTATTTACTTATATCTATTATCTTATATCTACTTATATCTGATCTAAACAACAAATTTGAATTTAACGCATTCGTTTTTTTTTCCATAAGCGTTTTAAGATTACATTTTGACGAAAGTCATAAAAATTACGGCATTTCAATGTATGTCTTACCAAACATCGATCCGAATCGTTTTTTGTTATCTACTGTTTATCGTTGCGTACAGATATAAATTAAATAACTTTATGTATCCGACTTTTCCAACTACCCACCTACAACAGTGGACCACACCCGTTCCCAGTTTAAGCTCTTTTTTTCTCATATAATTAAATATTTTGCGTTGGAAATTTTGCGTTTTGCCTGTTACGCGTAAACAAATTTTCAACTTCAGAGAACAGTCGACGAACAACCGTCTCGGACGCGCCTCAATAATCGACCATTCAAACGTAAAACATTTTTTTTCTCCGTTTACCGAACCCGATCATAATATAGTATTTAAAATTTAACGCCGACAAACGAACACTATACTCCAGACCCATTACTACTCCGGTGCTGTATTAGAGAAGAATTCGACAAGAAAAATACCCATTTAAAGACCGAGAATGAGGTGGGATGATGTAATAAAGAACGATCTGGAAGAGCTAGGAGGAATATATTAGAATGCCTGGGCAACTGACCGGGATGAGTATAGAAAGTTGAATGCGGTATGGTCCTGGAGGAAGGTAATCCCCCCCCCCCCAAAAAAAAAAAATAATAATAATAATGTATGTAGTGAAGATGCACGTTATGTGTTATATTGTTGTATTAAAAAAACGTCATCGTTTCTTTATGGTAGCTGGTACCTGTATTGAGTAAAACTAAGCACAACGTCACGCGCACGGTCGTCGTTGTGATTGCGGTAATCGCAACGTTATCTCGGGGTAGCGGTTATCAATGGGTGTGCGCACATGTGCAAATTTCCACTCGTCGCCACCCGAGTTGCGGTTATTGTAACGATAAAATCGTGCGATCCACGGTACCGTTCTCCCTCACGCTTACGCGTGATTTTCTCCACCATTCTTCCCGGCCAACGGCGCCGCGACGCCATCTGAAGCGCGTGCGCGTTGCCCCCCGTGTGTGTGTAGTGACGGCACCCTTACGACATACGACAGTCCGTCCCCGGCGACGCACAGAGTATTCGCGCGCGTACCGGCGTACGGACCTCCTGAACGCGCCTCGTCGCGGCGTAATCGACCACCCTTGCAGTCGCGTCGGCTGCGGAAATCCATTCACCGATCTCGTTGCAGCTGCTTCTCCTCTATCTCCCACTCTTTCTTCCCCTGCTGCTGCTGTTGCTATCGGGTTTGGCATGGACGCGGAAAATGCCGAATTACAGGTAACGTTCGTCGTTAGACTTCGAGTAGCCTAGTTGTCTCCGCCACCGATTAAGTATAATTATTATTATTGTGTGTATCGTAATTATTCCGTTTTGTCGTGGCACGCCAACGCCACAAACGGCAATTATATGAAGTCGATGTTCCGTAATGCAACGACATGCACTGCGGTTGTCCGTCACAGTAGGCCGAGTCTAAGCGACTAAACCCTAAGACAGCGATTTCGAGAGTGAAAAACGATATTATTATCGGTTTAAACGGTTTTATTCCATTATTAGATTCGGAGTGTATTAAGAGGTGTATTTGTTTTACAGTGATTTTTTTTTTTTGATCTATGAACAACTTTTCCACCAAAAATCATGCTCCAATTCTCAAGTGTAGTACCTTTAAGTACCTTTCCGAAAGGAAATTCAGTCCAGGTAGTTCTTTAACAGTGTTGAGAAGAGATAACAAAAATTTTATCTAGATAAGATACAGATAATTTTATTTTCATTTATCTAGATACAGATAAAAACAAATGCATTTTACATTTATCTAAATTAGATATAGATAATCTAATCTAACTTCTATCTAGATAAAATTAGATTAAACATTTAAATATCTGTAAATAGCTCAAACATTTTTTGAATATTTTACACTGCGTAGAAAAAAACAAATACAAGATTTCTGTCCAAATTTCAAGTTTCTAAGAATATTTTAAACTGAATTACAACAAAAAATAAAATTTAAAATAATAAAAGTATTATTTTTTTAAGTTAATTTACGATTTATTTTTCGCTTTCCCTACTTTTTTCTCCAGTTATTTTCATTTATTGGAAAAACTCTTGGCAAATCATAAAATGATCTTCTTAAGGACTAACTACTTCAGGAAAATTTCCTTTCAGAAAAGGTGATACACTTAATACTTCGGTGCAAGATTTCTGGTAGAATTTTTATACACAAGCATAAAAAAAAAATTTTAAAAAAAAAACATCATTGTAACACCAATACATTCCTTACCCCACTTGGAATTTAAAATTAATATTACTAATGGCAAATGAATATGATTTAAATTAAATATATCGAGATAAGTAAATGTGTCATCTAAGATAACCAATAGATAAATGGCACAATAGTTATCTAGGTAAGATAATAAATGAGCAATTTTTTATCTAGATAAGTCTCAACAGTGTTTTTTAAGGATGTCATTTTTTTGTTTTTCCAAATGGGATAATAATTAGGAAAAATGTAGGAAAATAGGAAAATGTACGTACATGTATAAAAGAAACGTCGCGCGTCGATCCGAATCGTTTTTCGTTAGCAATGGTTTATCGTTGCGTACAAATATAAATTCAATTCCCTTTTATATCCTTCCTTTCCGACTTCTCACCCACAACAGTGACCTACCCATTGTGTGAAGTATGTCAATATTTTTTTTTTTTTTATTCAGTGGCTGGTAAATAAATTGTATCAAATACATGTAATGTTCCACTAGTTTTATTTATTAAAGTTTTATTTTTGCAAGTAGAGATCACAACCGTAGAACCTGCAGGAGGGAACAGTAAAAAAAACAAAAATACTTGATTTACACTAAGGGCGACAAAAATCTTAACACGCCACTACTAGGCATTTCAGATAACGGAAAAATGTACCTATAACGACGCGGTCGCACGTTTAAGCGTTAATCGTGATGGTTTTTATAGCAAAAAAATTTCCTCAATCGCTATATAAAAATATGACCGCTGTATACACCATAATTCTAGACGTGATAGCGTATTATGCGTGATACGCAAACATTAACATACTGTTTTAGTACTGTAATTAAAAAGACGGACATATTTCGCACGATGGATGGCCCTCTGTTATAAGTGAGAGGTCGGAAAGGTAGGATATGTATAGGAGTTTAATGTTTATACTCGAAAATTAATCAATGCTAACGAAAAATGATTCTGAGCTTAGTTCGGTTAGACAAGTTAAAAATTAAAATTATTATAAAAAAATATATTACATTAAACTCAACTTTAAACCTCACTGTTCATAATTATACTCTCGTGCACTTTTCTATATTTGAACGTCATTTCGAATTGCGGATAGAATAGTATAATATGCATGCACAGTGTTAGTTCTGCAATTATTTATCGTTATCTTTAACATAATACACTTTTAAACGCAACTGTTATCATAAAATATTAAAAATTACTAAAATACTTCAGTGTTGGTACTTGACAAACCCCAAGGTCTAAGGAGAGGGAGAAGCGAATATAATATTTTACATAATATACAATATGCTACACAAATATATCTCATTTTTTTCCATTTATAAGTAAGACCGTAAAAAGAAATTTGATAATATGGTATACATGGTGTCCTCATGACCTCATACCTATTATATAATATACATTTGAAAGTATTAACTTTTTTCCGAAATCTTTTTAGCTTTTGAGCAAAGGATGTATTGGTTTTAAAATGTATTTTTTTTTTCTGTTTATAAACAATTTTAAAACAGAAAACTTGCATTGAAAATATTTTTAATCATTATTTTAATTTTTTACAATTTATGTTTTCTACCAAAAATAATAATAATAACAATAGAAAAACTACAATAGATATTTTTTGTTGAATTTTTAAACTAGTTGGTGTATTAGTTGTTTTTTTTTTTTTGATTTTCAGTGAAGCTTTTTTTTATATTTGAGGAAAGCCGAAAGAAAACGTAGAAAGAAAGGGAAAGTTTACGGATAAGATGCTAGTATAATTTTAAATTTTGTTAAAAATATTCGCTAAGACTTGAAATTTGGATATAAAACTTATACTTGTCTTTTCTAGACTTTTTTAAACATTTTAAAGATTTTTTAACTGTTTTAGACTTTTTTTTTTTTCATGTTTTTTTACGTAGTTTTTATTTAGTAGGTAGTAGCTACTCTCTAGATATAATTTTTTGACAGACCAGAAATACTTAATAATTTAACAGGAGGTCTATTATGAGTTGTATTTAGTGGTAAAAAAAAAAAAATAAAAAGTAGAGTGTAATGTAGCCATTTTTGTTTTTCTATAATAATTTTATGAATAAATTTTGATAAACATTGTAAATATTACAGCCTTTCAAATCACGTATAAACAAAATTCACTTAAAAATTATTTTCATTATTAATACCTAATCGTTGCTTACAGATGCAAATTAAATAACTTTATGTATCGTACCTTCTCGACATTTCCCCCTATAACAGTCACGCATCCATCAACAATATTGGCTCTTTTTCTTTTTACAATTTAAAAACTAAGCAGTAATATATATAATAGACATTACCATTATTTTTATCACCTTTTGTTTTGGAGCGTGAAGCTACTACCTATTTTTAATTTACAAATGGCAACCTATATTATAAATTCCATAAATGGACGGAGTATTAGTTCGAATACATTTTGGTGTTGAAATTTGTGATTTACGCCAATTCAGGGGAGAGAGTATTATCATTCAAACACTGCGTGCCGTGCCGTGTTCAACTGCTTAAAAGAGGAATATTTATTATTTAATAATTTCGTCAATGAGTTAACGAAAATCACAAATTTCAAAACCACTATACATTTAAACTAATACTTCTTCTATTTATGACATATTTTTCAATATATTATGCCATTTGAAGATCAAAAGTAGGTACCTAGACATTTCTCTCTCGAAAATAAAGGCAACAAGAATAATGATAACGTAACGTTTTAGAGCTCCTTGTTTAGTATATAGTCAAAATGAGAACTCCCAAAAAAAGTTAATACTATCATGGAAGATATCGCAATAGGTATATTTTCGCGAGACACCCTGTAGGTTATAGGTGTATGTTTTATACCTTTACATAAAAGATGATAAGAACTTAGACCATGAGTCATGACTAAGATTACATGGACGTTGTACATCGACTATGTATATTTATATTATAGTACCAACCAAGTAAAAACTACGTAAAAAAACACATAAATAAAAAATACCTATAAATAACATAAAAAATCAACAAAATGTTTTAAACATTTTGCCACGTCTAGAAAATACAAATATGTATTTTCTGCCGAAGTTTCAAGAAATAGAAACATTTTAAACTCAATTGTAACATAAAAGTAAAAACTAATAAAGTCATAATTTTCGTACATTTGCCCGTTGTATCCACGTATTTTCCCGGTTTTGCTCAATTATTACGACAACTACTTCAAAAAGTAATCCAAAAACCAATACTTACTCACCAGATTAAAAATAGATTAAAAAATTTAGATTAAAAATGCAACACAAACGTCTCCTGTTGTTTTTCTATTGGAGAAATATTTCTGGTAGAAAACATAATTAATTTTCGTTGTTTCGTTTTTTTTTTTTTTTTAAACCAATAATTTCTCCATAACATTATGAAACATTTAAAGTGATAATTGTTTTATGTTACACTTTTATATTATTATAAATTATAATCTATTATATTATATTCATAAATAAATGTTAAATACATTAATATGTCCGTGGATCCCAGGACGGATATTGCATAGTATAAATTGAATAACAAAAAAAAAAAAGTTATATAAATTGGTACCTAAAACGTATTAAACGAATTTAGACTCAAATCTTAATAGTCTATGCCATCGTTTAAAAAATAATTTAATCTAATTTAATTTTACTAGTTTTCAATGTCAAAAAAATTGCGCTTATGCAGTTTTTTTCTTAATGGCAAAGCAGAGGATTCTTAATGGCAATAACCTTTACTTAATACTAAACAGTGTTAGTCAGTTTTATTACTTTTTTTACATATAATATATATTCTTATATAAAATACTATAATAAAAAAAAAATTAGATACATTTTCAAAAATTCATTGTTTTATATAGTAAAATAGAGTTTAATATAACGATAAATACAATAGAGTTTATTGGAGTTTGTGCCTATATAAACTATGTGCCTATATACAACTTATGTGCCTATATAAATATTTTATATGAACAATCATTGTTTATAATATTTTTAGCTGTACCCCATGTAGCTCACAGATCCACCTGGAAATGTATAGTCATTATGTAAAGTATATATAGTCTTTATGTAAAGTAAAGAAAAAAAAACAAAAAAATGTTTATTTGATTAGAGAAAATGTACAATTTTATTATCTGGCTTTTATAACTTTCTATAGAAGTTTTCGCCGTCAACTCTATAAATCCCCATCCATTTCTCCCGACCCACACAATGATTTTCAAACCGTACACTGCTATACATTTTCAAAATCTTATTTAAACACATCTGATTACCATTTCTTGCATGACCTATCCTTCGGGGTGTCTTTCCTCCCGAATTCTAACAGTTCACAACCGCTTTATAATGGAGTTTTCATCATTTCTGTGCATTACGCATCCGAGCCGTATTGTAATACATTTGCAAGTAAGACCAGTGGTACCATATTACTGATTCCTTCGTGGTAATTTCTGTTTGATGAATAATATTGATGTCGTTTATTGCACATAATACTCGTAAAATTTTAATTTTAACAATTCAAAATTTAGAAGAAAAATAATGTTGATACGTGCTAATGTGTGTGCCACTGTTTTAGGAGAAAAGATACATATAGAATTATAATTTAATTTGCGAAAAACGATTCAGAGCAAAGTATAATTATTCGTATTTTCCCTTGTTGCCAAGGTAACCCAATAAATTACACAAAAAATGTCCAGTTTTCCCCTATTTTAAGAAACTTACAAGGGAAATCATCAGTAATATATCAAAAATGTTACAAAAACGTTAATATTATAAAGTTTGGAAAAAGAGTTCTGGTCGAAAAGTTGAATGTAAACAAACATACACAAAAAAAAACTTATATCATATTCTAAGATAAAACAGGTCGCGAAAAATATTGTTTGTGTTTCGTGGATTGTTTGCCGATTACCGCCATAAACATAACAATTTAGGTATTATAGGTATAATGAATGTTGATTTTGTGATTGTTTAATCGCCCGCGTGTTTCAAAAAAACTCTTTCAAATCAACTAGTTTTGAACTTTTTATTTTGTTTATTTTATAAACCGTATAATAAATATACTAACTCAGACTAAACCAACCTTTATTGACGCATACGCATACGAGACGTATTCTAGCACTCAATAGATGAAGACAAATTATTGGTTTTTGACCAAAATACCTAATAACTTGAACAATTTTCTGGATTTCAAGAACTTATGGTAACCTACGACAACTGTACAATCGGCTTTGTGCACGAAATAAATTTCTTAGTCAGAAAAACAAATCAGCGGGGAAAAGACCAAGAGGTAGTAGAAATTAATCTAAATAAATTCAACACTTCACTGAAAATGGTAATGGACATTTGATAGAATGCATAATAGAAGAAACGCCTGGTACTAAACCATTTCACGCCTAGATAGAAGAAGAGTACTAAACCGATCTTAGTTTGAAAAACTGTACGAGGTTTTAAAAAATATATATACATATATATTTATATAATATGTACAGGGTGTTCTAAGATATACGTATATTATATTATATATTATCTTCTTCCCGCTACTATTTGACATTTCTAGCGGCTCTTTCTGAACCAAACCCTCACTACCATTCGTATGATAAAATTTTACCATATTTGTGGAAGTAGTACGTAAAATAATTGTGGTACCTACTCGTATAGTATATAATGTTATTCCAGTAATCGGTTATTTATCGTTTTGCAAAGAATAATTCTATTACTTAAAAAACAGACGGAGGAAAATACGACTCTATAGTGACGGAGCTCTGGTATTTAGGTGTTTTTGATATGTGCGAAAAATATATAAATGCCAGCACACAATGTTTTACGTTCAGTGATTAAATTTCCCGACTATCATCATAGAATAAAGTGTGTAAATATTTTAAGTACTTAATATAAAGACTACCTCATTATAATATTCGTTCATTACGGCACGTTACGAATTTTGCATATCTGGAATATGCGTTTGTATTTTAAAAGCAGCGATTTTACGTGAAATACACATATCAAATACATAGATATTTTATTAATAGATACGCGCTTGTTTATTTTTTCGAGTTAATCAGCATAATTGTTCGTAAATTATTTTCAAATAGGTTTTCGAACCGATATCGTGGGTACTGCCGAATATATCTGCAATTTTTTTTTTTTTTTATATATATTCGTATGCATACATTTTATATATTATATTATAATTTTTTTATAAGACACGAGCACACCGTCCACAATACGCCATATACAGTATATTATTATGCACAGCGATAATCGCGTGACGTAGGTACACGTGGATAAGTTTTGTTTTTTTTACTAAACCGGACAGTGGCGTGCCCAGGAATTTTCAATGGGAGAGGATGTAGCCTAAATATTAATCATGGTTCATAAATAAATTATAGTAGAATCTTCTTGCGTTAAACTTTTATTTAAACCGCGAAAAGAGAATTTAAAAACTGTATCGAAAAAAGCCAATTTCAATTGGTTTTGGAAATTAATTCAATAAATCAAACTTTTCCCCTCGTAACTAGGCATAAATATGTGATTTCAAGATAAAATTAGTGTACCAGTAGGTTACCGAAGCATTTCAAAGTCAATAAGGGGAAAACACCCATAGAAACACCCGGGGAAATATTACAATTAGAACGGTTCGTTTCAGGGACGACCTGAATATTAATACGTAATAAATTCGTTGTTATTCAGCTAAAATGTATACGATTGAATTTTAGACTTGAATCGGTTTAAACAGTGATTCATTGTACTGGCACGGTTTCCGCAACAACTTTGAATCGTCAAAAATAAGTAATTTTAAAAACTCCATTATAAACTATGCACTATACAGGGTTTTTTTTAAAAAAAACCAAACTACTTTTTGTTATACACGTATTTTTTTTTTTTTTTTTTATATACATCTTTTAAAATTTAAAATATGTTTTTTTTTAATCTGTGTGGTTTGTAAATATAATATTATAATAATAGTTCGCTATAAACAAAATTCTATCATAATGATTAAAAAATAAAATAAAAGTTTTCAAAAAAATTTCACTTTTTATCAAAAATGAATAGGCACTATTTATTTTCGTGTATATTTTAAGAATGAACAGAAACTCTTAGGATGTATCAAATGTAGTATGTTAATGTGATTTTTTTGAACGTTTAAAACGCTTCGTAACCCAATTTATATAATATTTTAAAACTATAACATCTAAATCAACATCCCTCCCTCTCCCGAATCGCGTTTATGGCTGCAGATTTAATGTGGGGCGAAAAAAATTTAAACAATTAACGCTTAAAGTCGTAAACATCACTGCGGGCTGTAACATCCGTATCGCGTTCATAACATTCTTACAATAATATTATTCAAACATATTATTATATTCGGAGATTAGAAAAATAGCGGTGAGTGAAACACGTCTAAAAAAGAAAAAAGAAAAAAAAACATCAGCCAGCAACATAGCTCCGCGTGACTATGGTCGAATTTCCCTTCCCCCCCCATTCCCGCCTCTCCGCCTATTTTACGGATTACAGAAATTTGTAAAACGATAAACAACCGGACTCGACAATACCTATGTAATGTAACACAACATAATATCCTTGGTTATACGTAATGTGACGTATTAAAATCTGTATTTCATTGGGGGCGTTAACGGGATTAAAAACGCGAAAAGCCGTGCGACGCGACCAATGATTTACTTATTAGATTATATTATACGTAATTATTCGACTGGCGGTACCGGAATCGTTTTAATTATCGTTAAAGCAAACGCGCGGCGCTGTATAAACGAACGGCGGCGCGGGTGTGCACGGCCAACCGTTTAAGCTGAACGCTTAAACGGTCGAGTGACATACTCGCCCTTTTACATAACGCTCGTAAACAGTATACCGTGTATAATATCCTGATGATAATAATAATATTAATACCGTAAAACTTCCATACAACGGGTCGCCGAAGGAACCGAGAATAACGACCGCTGTTTATGGAGGCGTCCCTTAGAGGTTTCCTACAGAGGCGACCGTCCTTCAGAGGTTTCCTGTGGATGCATAACGGTTGACAAGACGGAGCCGGAAAAAAAAAAAAAACTACCGTTACACAGAGGCGACCGTCTTTTAGAGAGGTGACCGCCAACGGAAGTTTCACTGTGTTTTCCGTTTTACCGAAAGCGCCGTCAAAATTCCCTATACGCGTCCTTTTAAATGGGCGGTACGAAATCGCGGTTGCGTATTTTACCGCCGTCGTTATTGTCGTCTCTACATCTTCCCGCACGGAAAACATTTCGCATACCTCCGAACGAACAGCGTCACGAATAAAAAACACGCACGTGTCGTCGGGGAATGTTTCATAAGAATTCGGTCGTGATTTTCTATTAATAGTTTGTCTCACGCGAAACCGTTACTTTTGAGATGTGGCTCTACTTTATAGGTATTGTACAAAATATCACGACGTGTAACAACCGGTGACGTATTTAGCATTTTTCGTAGGCGGTGGAACACAAGAATTTTAGCTGTTTGATTCCGAAACATACTACACGATATCATTTACACAAGTAATTTAAATTAGCAAAAGTCTATGTTCATAAAAGGAAGCCTGATTTCCTTGGATTCAACGCAAGCTCATCTCCTTGACTTAGTCAGTTTTTATTTGGATGTCCCGATGTATAGACAACACTGCTAAACAGCTTAGCATCGTCTAAATATAAATTTAATTTATTATGAAATATCTATAAAATAATTAAATTACTTCTTTCATAGAATTTTTCGAATACGATTTGATTCTTTTCAAGTTTGAAAAACGTCTTTCTGATTCAGCTGTTGAGACGGGCAATGTGCAAAATATTTTCATCAAAAAATGTACATTGGGGAAGATATCTTTGTCAGCAATTTTCAATGCTTCCAAACCATTTTCAAATTCGATATCCCTAATTGTATTTTTCCAAATTTGTATTTCACTCATACATACATTTTCGTGGCGGCACAGTGCACGGCGATAATTGAATAGTGCTCCACTACTCTCCCCCTACCCAAAATTAAAAGTGGAATATTTCGTAAGCGAGTTGACGGACATGAAAAATGTGAACACCAAAATTTACTTAAACTTATACTCCGTCTATTACTATTTATGGAGTTTTTCACACCTGTTTTTATTTGAAAATACAAAATCCATTTCGGCCGCAAAAATAAAGACAATGTAACATTTCTGAATAAATATATTATATAATTCCAAAAAGTTTTTGTATAAGTAATTTTTTGAAAAAAATGAATATTTTATGGAAAAATTTGACTGTAACATGAAATTTGGAAGACCCTGCATATAGAGTAATTTAATTTGTATGGTATACGTAACATAAAAACACCACTAACAAAAAACGATTCTGAGCGGGGTATTATTAACCATATTCTTTCCCTGGTTGTTAAAATAACCCAAAAATTAACAAAAATTATACAGAACATTCCCAGTTTTTCCCATTTGTTAAAAAAAACTACAAGGAAAGTTCTTCAGTGCGCCAAACTAGGTCGAATGTGCTACGAGAAAGTAGTTCCTAAAATGTTTTTGATTTGATCGAGATTTCTTGAAGACAAGTTGTTTTGAACAAAAAACAAACACATCATATTATTTACAGTTACGTAAATAATACGATACGTTCTGCGCACCGCTATTATCCGAATCGGAATAAGAAAAATAAATTCGCCTTCAAAACGTTGTCGCCTTTGTACGCATTTTACGTCAGGCATTTATTGTTATCAAAAACCAAAAGCCTTTCGGTTTATTTTGTGTCGTTTTGTTTTTTTTTTTCACACGAACGCGTTGCCATTATGGAAATACGTATGGGTCGGGGATCATATTACGAGCCATGCGGAGACCTTCGGTGTCAATTATAGTAGCGAAAAAAATAAAAATATAATATATAAGTAATCGAAATAAATCTAATCCCGCGGTCAAACGTCCGCGGTGTTCGTTGAACGTTAAGTGAACGACGTCGGCTCGATTAACCCGACGTGTTTTGTTGTGCAGTTAATTTTTGATACGAAGCACTCGGCAGTCGGATTCGGTTAGATATTCGGAATTATTATTATTTATAATAATTTTATATTTTTTTATATTATTATTAATCGACTACGCGGTTAACGCGGCTTTAAACTAATAGCGAGACGCGACGGGCCACGCCGCGTTAAAGGAAGAGTATCATTACATTATTAAGAGTGACGCGTCGCGTTAGCAAGTGCGAATTAAACATATTTCCCCACCGAGAATACGATTCGTTTCGATTGTTATAGGTACCTAGGTAACGGAGAGTAAAAATAAAAATTAAATTAAATACGTGACGTCATGTTATAATATCGGACGTTCAATTGAAAAATTTGCGTCATGGCGATGCCTTTATGATCGTAATATTTTACTATTCTTGTTATCAATTATCACATTGATCGTTTTTAAAAAAAGATCACCACAATATTTTTTGGTACCTATTTTTTACTCTAATTTTGCTACAGACTATAGACATCGCATCATTCAGTTTGAACTTTCATCCATAAATATTTGTCTCGAGCAAAATGTCCATTGTATACATAATAAATACTGAATTCAGTATACCTGAGTGTACCTATCTATTTTGTATCATAATAGATATGAATACAATAGTCATATTTGTCTATAAAATGAACGTGTTTTTAGTACATAAATAATTATTGTATAAAATAGATTTTAATGTTTTTTATGCACTCGGCCACTAGGGTAGATCAAATTAGATTTTTGGGAAACCAACACGTTCTAGAATTTCAATAAGTGTTTCACATGGCTTGAGAGTATGTGTAATCCAAAGTATAAACAATATTTCAGTCGAGTACCATAACGTATAGACACAGAATAAGACCTACTAAACAATATTTATCAGATTCGTATATAATTATGTTTCAATTAAATTCTTTGAATAGGTAAAGATTTTCAACAATTTGTACTGGAATAAATTATTCTCAATTTAATCAATAATAGGGCTTGTTCTCAACAACCTAATCCAGTTCGAGCAAATTCCATTCCAATTGGGAAACAAACAACAGATAACAATTGTTTATTAATTTAAAGGTGACAGAACGCAAAGTTAAACGATGAATTCGAATCGAAAATTCGTCAAAATGAATCAAAAAAATGAATTAAATTTTCGTTCTTAAAATACCAAAAACCTTATGTCAGCCAATCCTTTAAGGGTTGGATTTCGACATAAAAAGTGAACGGCGTACTTCCTCTTGTTTTGAATGTCAAATGTGCAAAATTTCATTTAAGTTTATAATAATACTGATAGAAGTACTGATAATACTGATACGTATACAGAATCGAGAGAAATCGAACTTAATATTATTAGTGTGGACGATGAATTTTTTTCTTTTCTTTTCAATCCGATTAAATCCGTCAAGGGTCATCCACACAATGACATCTTTTCACAACTTATCGCTTTTCTTATCCAGGATTTCCTGTATCCAGCGTTATTTTTAAACTGTCACGGTTTTCTCCCCGACTTCCTCTTGATTTTCTGTTTCTATATTATGTTGTTTCTTATAGATCCATCTTATTTTTGCTATTTTTCGGCGTTATCTTTCATCAAATGTAATAAAATATCCATATTCAAAATTAAATCGATCGCAAACAAATAAATATATTTTAGGGTCCCACTCGTGGCTTGCTAACATTTTTACAATCAACAAGCTTTAACAAATCTTAAAATTCGAAAACCATACACGCCAAAATAACAGAGCAAAACAATTAACATTATTTTAGTGATAAGATAATAATGAATCAACATCTATAGATAACTAAGTTACCGCAATTTAGTAAACCATTTGTGTGTTCTCTAAAAATGTATTTTGAAGTACTATAAATCGTTAACAAATTTAATGATATTGGTTTGAAAAAAATAATAATAAAAATAAAATCATATAAGAACAAAAAACAAAATAAAGAGCTGACACTAGGGAAGGGTGTGGCCACTGTTGTAGGTAAGCAGTTCGAAGATGGGATACATAAAAAGTTATTTAATTTATAAATGTAAGAAATGATTGGCCATTGCAAACGAAAAGCGAATCTGAGCGCAACTTGGTTAAGCAAATAAAATAAAATAATAAAAATAAAAAAATTAATATGCGTTTTCACGACAACGATTGTTTGAAAAAGATTAAACGTTATTTAGAATAATAAAAAATTAATAGTAAAAAATAAATAAAAAAGGTTGCCAACAAACGGTTGAAAACCGAGATTTTTAATCTCCTTTAATTTTTTTACAACATAAAGAACCCGTCTTTTCTCGTTATCTCGAATATTAATGAGAATTTCAAAAAATGAGTATGGTCAAAATAAAACGAAAAAAATTGTCTCGTCAAATTTTGATAGGAGCAAGATTTCTAGCAAAAACGTCGTTTACAGAGAGGAATAAAAATACGCATCATAATAATATATTAAAACCAATAGATCCTTCACTTCAATCAGAATATAAAAAAACAAAAAATGCTGTATCGTGTAATACATACAGTTCACGCAAATTAAAATACGGAGGTTATGGTCACAGAGGTTAAAATTATTATTTCGGTTTTTGATTCAAAGATGCGGTTTTAAATTTCCATCAACGTACTGTAATATGAGTACGTTTTTTTCTGCACAAAATAGTCAAATGGGTGGCGGGGCGTTTTAACGTGACATTAAGTCAAAAATAATGGTATATTTTTAAATTTTAACATTTAATACATTTTTTTTTTTTTTAAATTAATTTATTACAATATTAGTTAATAAACAACGAGCTCATTATGGATTATACAAGGAAATATAACAGTGAAATAAATCGATTTTAAATCGGGCGATTGATCGGGTAGATTGGTTTTTTTTTGGTTTTTCTGTTTTTCTTGTGGCTCAACTCGAGACGGCGAACCGTCTACTGATCGTCCATTTACGAGTTTACGAATTGAAGTACCGGTTTTGTCGGTAACCGCCGGAATATGCGTCATTCCTGAAGGGACGATATGGGAAAACCCGACGGTTGCGTTCGCGGCCATATTGCCGTGCAGCCATCTCACTGTGCCGTGCGGCTCTCGAGCGGTGCCGCGCGGCCATCTCGCGGTGCCACGCGGCCTTCTCGTGATGCCGTGCGCCAATGTCTCTGTGCCACGTGGTTGTATCGTTGTCGTCGTCGGACGAGATCACGAGCGCCGAACAGACGCTGTTCCGGCTGCTGTTTGTGGTGCGCGACCAGCTGCGGTTGCGGCTCCGGTTGCGGTTGCGGCTCCAGCTCCGGTCGCGGCTCCAGCTCCGGTTGCGGTTCTGGCTCCGGTTGTGGCTCCTGCTCCGGTTGCGGTTCCGGCTCCGGTCGCGGTTGCGGCTCCGTCGTCGCCGTCGTCGGTGGCACACCCGCGTGGCCGTGATACTGTCGCCGCTGCCGCTGTCCAACGTGGTCGAGGCGGTTGCCACCGACGATAACGACGACTGGGAGTCGCAGTTCTCATCGGACACCAACTCTCCCTCTTCCAAATCGTAAGGTCGGGTGACGACGAAATCGCCGCCCGGGAGAAAAGCGTTCGGCACGGCCACCGCTTCGGGCGACGGTCGCGACCGACCCTCCGGAGGCACATCGCCGGGAACCACATCGACCTCGCCGCGGACGCCTGTGTTGGCGGTGCACCGTTCACTGGCCGACATTGTCGAAACAGAAATGAACCGAAACTGATCGAAACGACTGTACGGTGTTAAGCGCTACACAAACGATACACTGTCGTCGTTAGCCACAAGACGAGGATTGGTTTAATCGGTTTACAATGTCACTATTCAGTTGCATAAATAATGACCGACCGCGGTAACCGTGGTAACGACACTGCCGTCGTTTAATCCGTACTGTACAGTTTTCGCGGTCAACTATTATTATTATTATTATTTTCAACGTTAAAATCGTTATCGCCGCGTGTCTGTGAACAGATTTTTGACTGCCAAGTATGAACAGTTTTCCGGTTGGAAAACTTTATGGGAGCATTCTCGTAGCGTCTTGGATTTAGTGGGCGGTGCACCGATGGAGGGGTTATTTTCGGTACTTTAAGGAGGAATGCATTTTTGATTTTCCAAGCGGTTTTAATGATAATTGGAAAAAACGAGAAAACGTACGTGCACGAATGAGAGAAACCTCGTTCCGAATCGCTTTTCGTTAGCAACGGTTGTTACCGTTGCCTGTACAGATATAAATTAAATTCCCATACCTTTCCAACATCTCACCAGCTTTATAATACAGTTGCCCAGCCATCGAGTGAAGTATGCCCCGTCTCTTTCACCATTTTTGCATTGCTGCACGTTTCGAATATCCATCTGACAAACGACTAAACCGACGATGCCACAGTCGCGAACCCGTGTAGTAAACATAGAATTAGTTTTTGTCGCTTTTTTATATATTTGCATTTATCTACAACATTAAATATAAGCTCATGGAGATTATCTTTTCTGAATCTCACTGCAATCCATCTGTTATCCTCATTAATTATTTTATGCTCAACCATCATTAATCACTATCTTCAGACCAGAAATTGTTCATTGTTTTTTTTTTTTTTTTTAAACGCAACCGAAAAAAACCGAAAATATTCACCCCTTTTACTGACCATTTATTATGTGTTTTTTTTCATTATCGATTCCATACGATTTAAAGTTATGTATATTATACCGTACAGCAGCGGCACGACCAGGATGAAGCGGGAGTGGTGTCTAATTCCATCCGCGTTTAAATAAGTTCTTTATATTATGAACGCCCCCCTCCCCTTTCATAAATTAAGGTCGCGCCACTGCAGTGCATTGCAGTAAACATGCATCATATAAATACAAGGTGATCCATTGAAGCGGGTACAGTATCTCGGAAACTATTGACTTTTTTAAACTCTTTTCTTTTTTTTTCGCCTACAATTTAAGAAACACGCATCTCTCTAATGCCACATTACCATTGTTCTTGTCGCCCTTATTTTCGAGTGCGAAACGACTATTAACGTTTGACTTTAAAACGGCGACCTATATTAAAAATTCCGCAAATAGTTGCAGTTAGAGTTTACAATATACATTTTGGTATTTCCATTTTTTGATTTTCGTCAACGGCCGAGATATTTCACTTTTAAGTTTAGGTAGGAAGAGAGTATCTATAGTGGAGCGTCCAAAAAACGCCGCGCGCCACGCCATGTCGCCACAAAAATGATGCTATGCACTACTTCCCCTCAGAATCAATAGCAGATTAACGCTTCACCCCCAAAAATAAGGGTGATAAAATTAATATAGTTATATAGAGCTGTTCAAAGTTCTTCTTAAATTGTCAAAAAAATGAATACTTTCCGAGTGTGTCCACTTAAATTTTAAATTGTTAAATGTTAACGATTTTCATTTTCATAAATTAGTTGGAAAGCTTAGCACAATAACCTAAAAATTTAGCAAAATAGGGGACTTAGTATTTAAACCAACAATACGTGTTATTTACGTTGCGTTACACCAATCAATTTTTTGATTTTTTAATTGATAATTTGGGGTGGATTAGGTGACAATTTTTTAAACAAATTGCAGACAAATCAGAATAAAATTGTAAGAATCCGTTTAAATAAATCTTCCTTGCGAGGCTCTACGAGGTAAAACTATAGGGATTTGGGTGTTCTTCCGATTAAGTTTTTCTACAAAAATTTTGCAATTATGTCTATTTTTAAGAATGTCATCAAAGGTGAAAACAGGCAATTTTATGTTGGTAAAATGGAATATAGACTTTATAATGTTCCAGTCAAATACGTACGTAAAGCCTTTGGGATTAATTATTTAGAGCAGTGTTTCCCAAAGTGGGCGATATCGCCCCCCTGGGGGCACTAGAGCTATCCAGGGGGGGCGATGGAATTTACAAGCTTAATTGGGGAGCATCGACGTACAAAAAGGGGCGGTCACTGTATTTAG